GTGAGTTTTTTTTTGTTTCAACGTTGATTCAACCTGACATTGCCTGCTGGGTTACACGTAAATAGAAATAATAATAATAAACTATATCATTACTACTCTTTACGAAACGCCAGATGAATTGATATGACCTAAGCCACTTATTAATATTATTTCTTAAGTGCTCGCTTGGCCCTCTTACTAAGCCTTAATGACAACTTTTTTAGGCCGGAATTCAGAAAAAAAAAATTTGCGACGCAAAAAAACTCCCCCATGCAGAGGCTCGGAAACAAGTTCCTTAATTAGTTCAACGGCTCTTGGGCTCCTAGATGTATGAAGGGGATCTTTTGAGGCTTTTGTGAAATGAGAAATATGAGAAAATTGTGGTAAATTAGACGGGAGATCAAGCCTTGGTCCTGGTAAAGGTTGGTGGTATGAATTTTGTTTTTATGTGCCATTCGTGGAGCTGCCGATGTTCATTCCATAATTTCATTAATTTATGGGATTTCATAATCATAATTTATAAGTCAATGCAATTTCTATTGAGCCTCAACCGAAAAGATTCATGCGGCATATCGATACGGAGATGTCTATCTTACGTCACACGATCATGATACGACATCATGTTCTACCATATCATGGCGATTATCCCGCACATAGTAGTATTCTATCAGTTGGAGTACATTCGATAAAGTAAAATCTTATCTTAATCTTGCTGCCTTTTTCCGTCTGTTTGGAGGGCAAAGTGAATTCGCTCCTCTCACGCACTGGTCACTCAGAACGTTCGTTTTCTTATTATAGCGCATTTTCTCATTTGAGGAAAAAATGCACTATTGTGCTACCATGTCCGTCTGTCTGTTACACGTAACGTCCGTCCGTGACCTCAAGTTTTCGTCGACGAGAAAATGCGCTCTCTGTCACTCACTGCAGTGAGTTATGAGTTATATATTTTTTTGCTATTTACTGTTTTATTAAGATTGTTAACCGTGCGTATAACGACTCCGAGTACATTAAATAAATCTATAATAAGCTTCATGCATTAATTTCGAAGTGTGGAAGCTTCTGTCTTCTTTTTGTGTGCCCTCGTCACCGTGATGTTAGCACATCATTAAAATCCTGTTCAAATGCTCACTTACGGCCGCATGATGAATGCCATTGATCATTTACGTGGTAATCACTTCGTAATCATTACCCATTTACGACCACACGACGAATCATTGCGCGTTGGCATGGCGACAAAATAGCGTAAGTACGTCTTAAAATTTAACGCACGCAACGAACGATGTGGGGAGGAACAAACATCATTCATCATCACTGCACACAGTGAGCACACAGGGAATCGGACTCTGTAGCTTGTTGTAGCTTGTAATAAAATCTTTATTTTCAAGTTGAAAATGTTCAAGTCTAAAGTTATTAAGGTTCAATCTGATACGTCCTTGTTCGCCAAAACATTAATCATACATACTTTGTTACCAACTATCTCATCTATGCAATTGATATTCTACTGTAGTGTTAAACAAACTACTCATATTTGAAGCAATTTCACTACATAATTTTAATTTATATGCGTGATGAATGATATTTAACCCATATATTTTTGTTTCAAGTAGACAAACGAACGATATAATCAATTTATCAACTTAATTTTTTAAATTTATCTCAGTAAATATCAAGTGCGAACATTTCGTTTCAATAAAATTGACTATCAACAAATTAGATATCTGATGGGTTCGTCCTCCAAAGTTTTTTCCTAAATTTTTATTCATCTTAAATGTAAAATAAATTTTGAAACAGGACTTAGCACACCACTGAGCTCTATTCAAAATATTATAATGAAATATTAACGGAAGGAAAATGAAGAATTGTTGGAATTATTTCATACTTTCGAATTTTCTGACTAATTTTCATGAGCGGGGGAACACGCAAATTATTACTACTTACTTTCAAGGAGGATAACTACTCCTATTACTTACTTACTACTATTACTTTCGTAATACTCGAATAAAATAACTGCATGCGTAATACAAGACATTATGTAATATACCCATATATGTTCAAGTGTTGCTATAGTTTCCAAATCATCACTCGTTTTAAAATCTAAATATCCGCTCAAGTTTCAACGGAATATTATTAAATTATTAATTCTAAAGAACAGCGCACACTTTCAATCACTTCTCAATGCACGGGTAAATTATGTACCTGATAAATGAAGGGTGGATGAAGCTGCCGTGCTTTGATTGAAGCTTCTGACGCTCTTTTGGCAGCGGCGTTGAATAAATAACAGGATCCAGGGAGCCAATTTTACCCTCAATTTAGTTCGATGCACTTCAAAAATATCCTAAAAGCTCTCGCTCTAATGAGCGGCGCAGCACGATGGCAATCGCGCTGAAATTCACAAATTTGAGACTTTTTTGCAGTTGTCATGGCTTCCACTTTCGTTGACGAAGCAAAAGATAAAGCCAATTTTCGTAAACATCAGCTTCCACGTCAGCTCGGGTAAATAACTGTGTTTTCCAAGTTCTAAATAACTCTCTGAATTATACAAGAGTTACCATTTGATAAGGCTTACTATTCATCAAAAGATAAATAAGAGATGATATAAAAAGCTCTCTAAAAATTTAGCGTCCGTCAAAGATTCCCCTGAAAATTCACCCTATAACATCGCTAAGTCCGCTCGGTTCCGTCCAATTTTTCCACAATATATTTCAATATTTGGTTGGATTTCCGGCTGCCAGCAAACGGTAACAATGACCGCGTGTGCAAATTTAGCGAGCGATCAGACTAGCAATGCCTCAGCTGAGCCGATACAGAGCAGATGTTCACAGATTTGCCCGGCTCCAGTCGCTCTTTCAACGTTGGAAATAAAATAACAATATTTGGGCAGGTTAAGCATCGAATTTGTTCTAATCTTCATGTTTATTTTATATTTTACTTGTAACGCCACCTAGTTGAATCGGCATGGCACATTTTGATCATCAATTTATAGATTAAACTCGATAATCGACTTTTCGATTATTAATCGACAATCAACTGTTTAAGTCAATTAAAAAAAAAACTAAAATTTCAGGTTTCCCGTCAACGGACTCAATTTCACCAAGCAGGTAGAATGGTGATAAATAACATATAGACTTGAATAAGACTTGATATAATATATAGACTTGAATAATATATAGATTTGATCGGATTTTATTACTTTGCAAGCGGGAACCTCAGAAAGGCAAAGAATTCAATCAAAGTGTTTGATAGAAATTTAATAAACATCGAAACATCACTTCAGACAAATGTCAATCATTTTAATTCAACAAGGTGAGGACGAAAGCTGAGGGAACTTGACGCAAGCCTCCCCTTAAACCCTCTACCGCCTGACATGAGTAACCGGAGCAATATTGTCACAAGCCCATGAACTTCCCAAAAAGGATACGTTCTAGGGAGCGCAAAATGACTTACACTGATGGTTGCAGCCACGTACAACTTTAGAATGTTCTCTGTTGCAAACAAACGTCCTCAAATAGCTACACTCGATATGTTAACGTATAATTTAAGTTGAAAGTTATGTTCCCGGAGAGTGACATACGGTGGTGTAGGGTTAAGTTGGTCATCTAATTTCGAATGTCAAGTGAGCAGTACTAATCCTAATTAGTACTAATAATTACCACAATGCATGAGTGAGCAGTATATTCTTTAAGCCGGATCTATGACCCTTATGTGTGTGAAACTACATGAAAACTAAAACATATGAACAGAAAAAAAGTTTTTACGAGAGAAAATTATTTTAAAAAAATCATTATTAATTAGAGGCTCGATTATATTGTGATGGTTTAAAAATTGTGGAATTCACATCCAAGTCACATTCGAAACTACAATTACCCAGTCGTTCCAATTTATATTGTATAGTATTAAAATATGGCATAATAAAATCAGATTAGCATGTTTGGTTTAACGCGGATTCTAAGCATCGGAGATTTCTCACAGCAATGCGAGATTGGAACCCGCAACTCGCTATTCCAATCCTGGTGCTCTTAGCCACTCAGCCACGCCGATATCGACTAGAATTTCCAACGCTGCCTGCGGGATTGAACCCGTAAATAACAGCTCAGCGATAATTTCTGCAGGTAGCATGGCCATGAAAAATGGGGTTGGAATGGGCGACCTGAACTATAGACGTATATGATTCCTAAATAATATTTACTCTTCCCTGTCACTAATGTTACATCTAATAGATTGAAAACGGCACACAAGATTTTGACCGCAATGAGCTTTGCTAAATGTTTATTACTTTATTTATTTATTATTACTTTATCATTTCGTTCATCACGCAAATTGCTTAATGTCGGAATTACTGACTTACGTGTCGCACGTTCTCCTAACTCGCGCTATATCCTTTGCACTGCAAAACCTCTCCCTAAGCAATCACAGGTGCGAAGGAATGCATCCTAATTAGGTGAACTATGCACGTCGGCGCTGAGATTTATTGCAGCCTCAGGTCGAGTAATTGTGACAACTTGCACAGGCTAACGCGTTAATTCGTGTCAACTACTTAGTTATGCATTCGGTAAGGTCAACTTCACTACAGGGTTTTAAATTTCGAATTTAGAAAAGCCGGGCTCCGGTTTTTGAACAAATATAGTCAGTCATAGAATTAACAAATTCATAATAAAATTGTGCTGCTTTTGTTAGCAATAGGTCTATGTGAATCCCTACAGGTAAAATTTGTTTCGTTTTTTTTAGTCATAGCGTGACTTTCTTATTAAGGTTAAATGATGTAGACATTAAAGATAGACCACGTCAATTTAGCCTGCGATGAAGACGAACAAACCACAACGCTTAATTTCACATCGGTATCTCCTACGAATAGTGTAGTCGATTCCCATGAAGAAAAACTTGAAACTCTGGTAGCTAAACATAGCACATTATGGCGAAAAAATAATAGTCATGTACTGTATATTGCAAAAATTTATTCACTTTTTCTTGTAACCTATACAAATAAGTTATTTTATTGCTATCGGAGATAACAATAGCACAGCCAAGATAAGACAAGATAAGAGTATAGCCTGAAATTTCAAATGGTCCAAATAAACAATCGTACAACAGTAAACTATATCCAGTGTACTAAAAATTTCGAACCTATCTCATCTCATTTTTCGATCCTTAAACAATATAAAAGAACAATATTCGAAACTGAATTCAGTCATTTTATTTCAAGAGCGAGATCTTCCATGATGTTCATGTAACAGTCATTTCCACTGATATTTTCCATTCTTAAATAATTTTTACCGAGTTGCCAGAATATGATATTATAGGACAGACACTCCGTACTGACCTTCAAACATCCCGGCAACTTTTTCAAATTCTAACGCATGAACTTATGCTCTTTGCAGCTAATTAATCTCAAATGAGCCTTGCTTTTCCTAACGGTAATAACGGCTAGCCTTAATATAAATAATTTTGAAATCATTTGGGTACAATTAATTTGATTGTAAAATTTGTAAACACTTGAAGGCAGGCTTCGTTACGCACACAAAAAATTTAATACAGAATAACAGAATAAGTAACTTACCGTGAGGGAACGAAGAATGAATTACTATTACAGTTTCAAACGTTCCCTAAACTCGATGAACTTTTGCGATTTGCGGACATTAAAAAATCACGCAGTTAATCTATAGTTAGCAAACTGTTTCATTATTGCAACCATCGCAGAAGTTCAAGACGTTTATAGAACAACGTATCATTCTCTCAAAACTTGAAACAGAAAATGAAAAAATTATCACTAGAATTGGCTACAGCCATTCTTGCATTTCTTATTAAAACGAAAACGATTTTATATTTGAAACGCACTAAGTTTAATCTCTAATTGCAGCACTTAGCGACTCATAGTAACTTTTTTATTCAAATTTTGCGGCAGTGGTTGCATGCACAGTAAATAGTACAAGCATTCTGTACTAATTTGTACAACAAACTGATCATATGATCATCATTTTAAAGCGTTACATTCAGATTCCATGGAACTTCTTTGGTTATATGTTAAAATATTACCAAAATAAGCAACGAATATCACAAACAAATTTCCATAAACATTAGTGTCTGTAATTCGTTTAAGGCTTTAGTTGTAAAATTTGTTCGAATATTTGCTGTTGGAGCTCACTTACAAAACAAAAGCATAAATCCAATAAAATCCTGAACATTGTATGCGTTGAGCTGAATTATTTTTCACTCACTAATCGTGAAGATACCAACAATACTTTTTTACTGTAAAACCGTTGGGAAAATTACAGAGAGAGTTATTTATTTTAATACTTTTACTTTTTCAGCTAAAACTTTTCCGATGTAATGACAGCAGTTGAAATTCAGGAGATTGCTGAAGAGGTTTTCAAAATTCATCGAAACCAAAATTTAGAAATCTGAAACTAATCATGGACAGCTAAAATCGCAATCTGAAATCATGGCATTGCTATTGGAAGACTTTCTCTTCCGAGAAATCACTTGAATTTGACTGCTCCCGGTCTCTTCTTTTCTTCATGCATTCAAGTAGAGTGTTTTGAACTGCCATCCTGAACTCTATTTTCTCGATATCGTCTAATTTCTTAAGCATCGGCATAAGACTCTTGAAAAAACATAAGTCGTCGTCTTCATCTTCTGGCTTGAAGCTTTTCGTATATTCTTTCTCATTCATATATACAAAAGGCTCGGTGGAGTGGTATGCAGAATCCTGTTTTCCTCTTTCAAGATACGCGTCGAAATCCAGTCTACCGCGCTTGACGTTGATTGTTGGCGTGGCTTCTAAAAGAGAATTTTCATGTCCATCAATTTCTTCTTTTACAGCCTCCGAATCACAATTTTCTATGTTCATAATATTAGAAGGCTTTTGGTTCCCATGTGATAGAAAAGAGAAATTTTGTGAATGCATAGGGTACGTTTCCTCAAGACCAGAGTCCTCGGTTAAGTCTCGGCCGTCACCTACTATGAACATCATGCTGTCGAAAAGCGGCCACTTCTTTCTTCGGCTGGACGGAATTTTCGACAGGCGGTAGAGTTTGGTGAAGTAGTCTCGCAGGTAAGCCCATCTCCGCTTCACTTGGTCGACTGGAAATAAGTATCAGAAAGTAAATCTTAGTACGTTTCCCCAAAGAGGAAATAAAACATATTTTTAAATGCAGTGAATGGAAACCTAGGAAATCAGAAGGGCCCTTTAATTCTAGTTATTTAATAATTTCCATCCAAAGACCGCATTCTCATAAACGACTGAGATTTACTTTCAGTGCAAAAAATTTTAACGAAAAATCTTGAAGCGACCAACAGCCGTGCATGGATTACAATAGGTAATTTTATCCTAACCTTAGGATAAAATTTTTAACCTTATCCTAATCTTAACCTAACCTAATTTGGTAGATATGTTCTTAAACTTAGTTACTATCGGATATAATTATCTAAATAATATTTTAAAAACAATCGAAACTGTACTATAGGAACAAAAAACTTAAATTTTTCACTCAAGGCCACGAGTTGAGGCTGTTCGGTGAAATCAGCATACATTGATTCTACTCACAAAAGGCAACGCATTGATTCTACTTATGGACAGCAATAAGTTGATTTCACTCACAAACAGCAATGCATTGATTCTACTCACAAAAGGCAATGCATTGATTCTACTTATGGACAGCAATAAGTTGATTTCACTCATAAACAGCAATGCATTGATTCTACTTATGGACAGCATACATTTATTTCACTCACAAACGGCAATGCATTGATTCTACTCAAACGGCAACGCTCGGCCAGAGAACAAATCGATGATGGCATGGAGCGCCATCATCTCAGGCGAGCGTAAGTTTCCAGCCGCATTCGCACGGAAAAAATCCCCTAACATTCTTTAAATTTAGGAAGCGGGAAGACTTAAACTATAACATTTATTGATAGTTCTCGGGAATTAATAGTTTACGATGCATGACAAAAATCATACGCTGGCGGTTAATGCAATCCTCAATTTGAAATTACCTCTATTATAAAAATTCGATGAGACATCAAACAGTAAGAAACTATTTCAGTGACTGCAAAAATCAGAGTGTAACGATTGCAATTCTGTTGCAAGCACCGAAACTGCCACCTGGAAAACACGATAATGTTCCCATCTCCGAGAAGTTTTTGCTCTGGCAAATCTCTTGCTTGCGTGGCGGTAGCAGACATTTCCTTTGACAATCTTGCTTCATTTAACGTACGAATTGCTTAACAAAAAAATAAAACTGTAAAATTACATTTGAGGTTCAAGCTGAGGATAAACTTTCGTTTGGGACAGGAGATGAGACAGGGACAAGAGAACAGTTACAGGAGATGAAAGCAGAGGCTGCCACAAGTTGCCAGACTTTATTTTAAAGCGCAAATGTCGGTGCGGGAGCAGCAGCACCAGACACAAGAGCTTGCTTCAAGGCCAGCAGACATTCATTAACAGAAAACTATACTACAGACAAACTTATAGTTACTCACTGTTGCCACCGATTTCCGTGGCACACTCTTCCCATAGAGTGCGGATTAGTTCTCTGTTACAATGTTTTGGATGATTTTTGTCGTACAAAGGCGGCCGACACTGCACGGCCGCAATCACCCTCTCATCGTCCATGCCGGCCGCACACTGACGCTGCGGCGCATGTTTGGTAACTCCCAGATTCTGACGTAATGCGCAGGGTTTTTCTATACTCCGGAACAGCTGCGTGCGTGCACGATATTTCTTTCGCAAGATGTGCAAATACAAATGAGATCTACGGAAAGTGCGTAAACACCGGATTCTGGTTTGTGTCGTGATGCAATCCTGAAAGGTTTTCCGCTACAATACTTAACCGCTATTGCTGCGCCCGCAAGTGATGCCATAATTCTGGACGGATTTCCGCTATGATCCGTAGCCTCTGACGCTGCTCCCAGTGCCACGCGGGGCGGAGTTTATGGCGCGCTATTGAATTTAAGGATACAAGGCAGCTGTTCTGTAGACTGCGAGCGCACAAACTCAGCTGATAAATGCACTTTTTCATCACGATTTTTTTTGTTCAATGTTCGCTCGTACCAACCTACGAATGCACTCTCAATTAAACCTGTGCATCGTGTCGAGCGGCAAATTTTTCAACTGGCATTAGGGAAGCAAGTTTGGGCCCCAGCGGGTTGTTTGGACGACACGTTCTAACGAGCCTCCTGTTCTTTTGTTAAAATTGCGAACGCAGTTTCGTTAAAATTCTATGGTTTGTTCGAATTCGAAATTCTTGAATAAATGCATACTTTGTTTTCCCACGCGAAAGTGCATAAGAATTTCCTCACAAAAAAATTCAAAGCGCTATTTTATTTCAAATCAACTCTTATTTCAAATCGAGGGAGTAAAATTAGAATTTATTTGATATTTTAATGAATATTCCGAATTCAATGGGAAATAAAATAGGAAATTTGAGTTCTATCAATTCTCCGCTAGAAATATAAAGTTTTCATTATTGTATTTTTTCAAATAGTGGTACTTTATTAAAAATAGTTTCAATTATTAAAAATAATGACTGACCAATATAAGATTCATGTAACAATCTATGAATGTATGGATGGATATTTGGGCAGTACTTGATAGTTAAGATTGACATCGATGAATTAAAAATGAAAACGAAATTAAGCTACGATAAAATAATGATTTCCTTTAAATATACGCTTAAATATAATCAAAAATGTCTCTTATTTTCAGATATTTTATGTGTTTCCAGTTACACGCGACGCCAACTTGATGCGGTGCAAAAAATATATGCCTCTTTTACAAATAAAGAACCCAGATGGAATAAGTAAACATGATTAATATTTTAATAATCTGAGACTAGAAATAAATTCCATTTGAGGAATGTCCCGGTAGACCAGCTAGTGTTTTTTTTCGTTACATTATTATTCACGCTCGTGTAAGTAATAGAATTTCGTCTTTATCTGAGTTAGGGTAAAATTAAATATCGTTAGCATACCCCCGAAGTAAATCAAGTTTTGTTAACTTGCGTCAGGAAAAGTTATATGGATTGATGGACTCCAGATTGAGTTACGCTAGCATTCGCACGGTTCCATGAAATAAATTTGCGTTGAGTGAAGGAATTATCGGGGCTGAGATTGGAATTATCCAATTGATTCGATATCGCTGCCGCAGCCCGGCCACCGAAGTTTACTTTTCATTAAGAGGATTTACTGAATGACGTCGGCGATACTATGTCGCTCAGCACCGATAGTCTGGCACGTCCGGGAAGTGATAACAGCTTCCGTGAAGAATATAAATTCTGGTTTGGTTTATTTTTCTAATTGGTATTATAACCTATGAGCTAGCAACGGTTGCTAGCCAGCAAAGTTTTATTTTTGCGGGATCTCTGATTTTCTTCGAGAATCTAGCATTTCGTTAATTGCCTGACGAAGATCACGTGCAGAAAATTTTTGCCAGAGTTCAAAAATTCATTCCTTATAGTTTTGTATTTATTGCGTTTAAAATTCGGAGTGACTAATATTTCATTTCTATTGAAATCATCTAGATGAATTTGTTTGCAACTACTGTTTCCTCGTCTCCAATACTTGATAGTGAGAAATACTTGTGAGAAGGCAGGTTAAAGGGAGCCGTTTGCCCCGAACATCACGTCGTAATACCAGTTCGGGGAGCCGTTTGCCCCGAACATTACGTCGTAATACCCACTTCGGGGAGCCGTTTGCCCCGAACATCACACCATAATTCCCAGTTCGGGGAGCCGTTTGGTCCGAACATCACGTCGTAATACCAGTTCGGGGAGCCGTTTGCCCCGAATATCACGCCGTAATACCCACTTCGGGGAGCCGTTTGCTCCGAACATCACGCCATAATTCCCACTTCGGGAAGCCGTTTGCCCCGAACATCACGCCATAATAACCAGTTCGGGTAGCCGTTTTCCCCGAACATCACGCCATAATTCCCACTTCGGGAAGCCGTTTGCCCCGAACATGCACCACGCCATAATACCCAGTTCGTGCTCGAGCCTCTCATAAAGCTGGCAGGATTACCAGGCTCGCCCCTCTAGGGCTGGCAATGCATTGCGTCAGGCTCTGATAAGCGCCACGAATTGTGAAGAAACCTACAGCTTCATACATCGTGATGGTGTCCAGTGGCGCTACAAATAACAGCTTCTCATAGAGAACAAGCACACATTTATTCAGCTCAATACAAACACGTGTCTGTGCATTCATATATGCAGCATGAAAGACAATACATTCCTTTTTACCGCTTTTCTGACAATACATTAGATTATTCAGCATACACTACAATGCATTCATTTAGCAAACACAACATTACATTCATAGTATATGCAGATAAAAAAATCATTCCTTTTTACCGCATATACGAAAATACATACATTCATATAGCATATACGACAGTACATTGCTTTCCTACTGACATCGACAGTTTACGTGCTCCTGAAATGGTAGGATATCATACATACCGGTAAGTGGCAACACTAATATATTATATACAGCATATAATGTATATTATATACATTATAATTTGTAATATATATTATATAATATATATATTATATATTATTAATTATTTGTATTATAATGTATTATATATTATACATCACGCACTAATAGTGATACCCAATAATCTTTTTGATGGTGCGATGTCGTTAGTGGTTTTGCACAATTTTGTTACGGCATTTGCATGTTGCTAAAGAGAAATGTTCGCTGATTGACACATGATATTTTCGCAACGATTCGTAAACACAAGTTAAGCCCCTGATCTCAGAGATAAATTAAATAAATATTAACATTACATTTATAATTAATTATATATAAGACAATACAAATTAATTTCTAGTGTTAATTAATTAACATTAACATTACAAATTAAAGTTGAACATTAACAGTGCTTCTTAGTTGATAATTAATGATTATTTATTATTATTCATTCAGCATGAAGTCCAGTGTCGAATACAGAATAATACAAATTAGCGATAAGAAATGATACCTGATGGTATGCAGCGATTGAAAAAGACTTTATAGCGGTATTGACAAAAAAATGTTTTGGGGAATAAATTTCAGACATTTAGAATAAATTTCAGACATTAATTAGAAAACAAGGAAGAGTTAAATAGCGCCTAAGAAATTCGAATTAAAAGCTTAAATTGCTTATGCACACTCCACACTGTATTGAAAATGTTACGACATCGCCTTTATAACTAGACACTATGAGCTGCAAATTATACACATTGAATAATGTAAATAGTGTAAATACGATTACACTACTCTCAATCAAAACCTCCCTCCTCCCGCCTGATGAACCCTGACGAGGTACCCCCCCCCCCAGCCGTCGCAATCCCAATCAAATGCCCCCTCGCCCAAAATCAAACCAATTATTCGCTAAGCGCCTTTTCCGTTTTCTACTGTCCTTTCCATTTCGCCTTCCTCTGTCTGGCCACTCTGTGCCACCTTTTATTCCCTCCCACTTTTTCTTGGAGGCACCACGCCACAAAAAATGCTGTATCAGAATCGCGACACTAACAGCCACTTAGAAGTAACTTAGATTCTTAGTATATTTTTCCTAATACAGCACTCTAGCTACTGTAGGGTGATTCACGGAAATTTCTTGATTTGAAAGCTCAATAAAGAAAGAACTATAAAAGTTATCATTGCAGTAGGAATTTTATTAAATAAAAATCTGCCTGAATTTTGGTATCACTAAGTTTAAAAATGACATCGGACAAATGACGGCCTTCATAGTCAATGCATTAAGTCAGTCTATTTTTGAAGTTCCGTTCAACTCACTGAAGCATATTGACGGGTATGTTGGCGATGGCTTTTCGTAAGTTGTTCTTCAAATGAGGTAGGGTTTTTGGACCGTCATTGCAAACTATTGATTTAAAATAACCCAACAATAAAAATTACATGGAGCCAAATTGGGAGATCAGGCCGGACAAAGCGCTCTGTAAAATGTTGTCTCAGAAGATCCATTGAACATCGCGCTGTGTGGGTCGTGCCTCCATCATGTTGTAAGCAGACATCCGTCACATTTCAGCCAGTTTAGGTAAAAAAAGAAAATACGTCAATCATTTGTGTGTTCTTCGTTGAGTTTTCGTACCACACAGCGTGTTGCGAGCTGAACGCAAAAACGCCGTGTGGAGAACGTATAAGCGTCTTTTTAACTCTTTTTGCGTTTTCGGGTGTTGTGGCAGCCCGCTGACTTCCAGATCTTGTTGCATTCACACTTACACTTGCCCTAAATGTGTTCGACCACGTAACAATAGATTTCCCACCTGAAGCACGTATACGGAACCGAGTTCGGAATGATCGTTGAGTAGCGATAATAGAACGGCCATTAGAAAAGTACGCTTCGACAGCAAACGCACGCTGCTCACTTGGTCAATGCGTAGTGGATACTGAATACGCGGACATGAAACTTCATGACCTTGCCTTCCATATGAAATACTCCCCGCAACATCTGGCTGCTTGACGCGAAATACAACGCAGGAAATTTCCGTGAATCGCCCTGTATCTTCGTACATCATGCTTCAATATTTCTGTCAAAAACTTGCCATATTACTGGACACATCGTAGTCTCTAACTAATTAACTCAATGGTTACCCGGTAAAAAACTTTCTGCTAAATTTATAAAGGTTCCAATATGGAGCGCCGTCAAAAAAAT